GTTAGTTCTGGTGAGATTTGGATCTTCAGTTTGTAACAGTTAAAACCCAGAATAATTTTATTCAAAAGTGTCTTCTTCATTGTGGTTACAACAAAAAACAAATAAAATAAAAAGAGGACAAAGTACGACAGAGGTAGAGTGCGTGTGGCTTTGAACCCTGACAGTGCTTCACCGTGACACTGACCCAGAAGAGAATAATACGCAACCCAAACAGGAAGGCGGATGTATCAGAGGCCACCTACTGGTCACATACCCATATAACCCATAATGTCACACTTGGAATGTTCCGCAGTATGGAATTAAACTCATCTATTTAGAATGTATTCATTTACAAGCGTTTTTATCAGAGAAAAAATACCTTGAAAACACGCATTCATACTTTGAGTCGGGTCGCCTTTCCAGAGATTTTACCTGTAACTTGGTCTGTGACATTACCTGCCTGTCTCTATGGGGATAGGTAGGTTTAATGCCAGACTGTGGAGCATTCCAGACAAAGCACTAACTTCCCTGCAAAGACAAATATTACATATACTGCACATTTAATTATTGAGATACAAGCAATGATCGCTTTAAAATACTATCAGATTTTGTATTTACACTATTGACAGCTGTGGTTCAACTGCTAAAGCATTCGCCCATAAGGTGTCCAGACTTTCAAAATCTGGGACATCAACAGTTTGTGGCAGTTGGTAATAATAAAATAGTGAAACGAGTGTGTGTAATTAAGGAAAACTGTGCTGTACTCGACCCATTCACGACAAACATGTGAGTCAGTACTGTCACATTTTCTTTGTGTTCTGGTCATTTTTAAACAGCTTTTCTGTATTTTACCTAAACAAGTGAACGATTTATACTTTTTTTTACTGTCAGTTAGGGCTGTCGCAATAACAGCAAAAATGAATCACTGCGGTACTAGGAGGCCCACCGCGGCGCATGTTGGACCACCGCCATCACCGCACGTGACCATCATTGCATTTATATAGTGCCTTTCAAGATACCCACATTCATTCACTCAACACTCAGCGGTGGTAAGCTACTACTGTAGCCACAGCTGCCCTGGGGCAGACTGACGGAAGAGAGGCTGCCAAGCTGCGCCATTGGCCCTTCCGACCAACACCATCACTCACACACACACCACATTCATACTAGGCAATGTGGGGGAAGTGTCTTGCCTCCCCTGTGGCAGCTGGAATTCCCAGTGTCTCCCATCCAAGTTCTAACCAGGCCCAGCCTTGTTTAGCTTCTGAGATCTGACGGGATCAGGCTTTGACACGCTGGTATGGCCACACATTGATTGAGATGCCGCACACGCCACGGACTGAACCAAGACGGAACCAAGACTAAACCAAGACTAACCCAGGACTAACCCAGGACTAAACCAAGACTAACTCAGGACTAACCCAAGACTAAACCAAGACTAACCTAGGACTAACTCAGGACTGATTCCAGGACTGAACCAGGAAGACTAAACCAGAACTCACTGTCGGGACTCGCTCGAAGGTGCACTTATGTAGACTTGGGTGACCCCAGGAAAGGACCGGCACAGAGCTCTGCATACCACGCTGTTGAGCTTCTATACTGCACCGCAGGAGAAATTCCCTAACCGCAACAGCCCTACTGTCGGCAGGTATAAAACTGATCAAAAATAGGGATGCCGGGGACATTTCTTGTATAAAACTGTGACAAATCACTGGTTTTGGATAAACCTGCTGGGACAGGGGACACATGGCTCAAAAACTTCGACTGTCTCGTGTAAATAGGGATCACCATTGACGCCCACCAACCTAGAGGTCAGTGGTTCAATCCAAGCTCAGGCCAGTGCTTACTTACTATTGTTGTGTCCTTGGGCAAGACACCCACCTACCTTGCCTAACAAGAACGAGCTGTGCGGCTGAGTGACGCAGAGTCCGACCCTGTTCAATCCTTTTGTGAGCGGCTAATTCTCCTCCTCTGTGCGTGGCTTAAGTGGAGAGCCAGCACAGCGCTAATCTCTCACATCGACCGCAGACCTGGAGCTACAAGCCATGGCCCCCAAAAACAACAGTAAGCTTCCATTTCTAATTTTAACATTTTATATTTTTATCCTCTCAAACTGATTAGGAACAATAGGGATAATGACACTAGAACACTGGGAGGGGAAGTGAAGAACCGGAGATTTAGTGATATCATAATTTCATGTTTTTGAGCATATTTTTGGGACTTTTTCCTCTTTGTTGCCTCATTAACTTCCGTTTTTATCATTAGCAGCTTTATAACTCTATTGTGTTTTATTGTGCAAATGACAAAAACTCAAAGCTGCAGCATTTCAAAATTAATTACAATTGTCGTTTCGTTTTTGCTCTCATCTCTCAAACTTGAAGGTAGTTTGTCAGTATTGTGAGTAACAATACGAATTAAAGAAGCATTTTCTCAATGAATCTGAGCTTTAACTTGGTCTGGTAGAGTCACCTGATTGTCTGTGTATGGAGATAGATAAGTTGAATGCCGTAATGTGAAATTTCAGTCAGATTCCAGTCAAAATAGTAATGTCTCCATGGAAACAAGCGGGTAACATATTCCCCCAATCAGAATAATGACACAGTGCAGCTTTAAATTGGATGTAATTGGCTGTTATTTCATGTTTCTTTTTTGAGAGCGTTACATGATTGTGGTAAGCCCGTTGTGAAATCCAGAAGGAATTTGTGATTGCAACAAGCAGATTATCCCCAGCCTCAGTCAGACCTGGCATTTAGCAGAGTGCAATGCGTGAAAATGGTCTGAAATATAAAGCAACCGAAGCGGGCATCTGGTATAAAAATGTGTTTCTCAAACTGTGGTGAGCGCATGCCCGGTGGTACTCAAGCTCCTTCAGGTGGTCCTTGCGCAGCTCTTCAGTTTGTGGTTCATTTAAAGTTCATTTTGATAACTTTTTGTCCTCCTTTGGATCATTTCATGTTTAGGACTACAGTGGAAATGATGTGGTCCACTTTTGGCGGACTTCTGGTTTAGCCCTATTTTAGCCCTGCAATAGTCCCTGGTTTGGCCTGAGATTAGACCTCGAATAGTCCTGTTATAGGCCTGGTTCAGATCTAGATTAAACCTGGAATAGGAAGTTCCAAATAGGAAGTTCACTGGCAGGAACTTCCGGCGCCTACTGATGCTGTCTCCCATTGACTTACATTAGAATAGTGTCAACCCTCTGTTACTGCTGCTGTGAGCCTTTTCATGTCGGGTGTAAAATGTTCGTATTAACCCAATTTACATGATCCTGTTGTTTTGTTTTGCTATTATGTCCATCAAAAGAAATCCTATTCATACTATAGAACCTGGCTCCAAATTCGCCCCTATAACCGTTAACACTACGAGCTTCATTTAAATCGAGCTGAACGCTATGGTTAACCTCATAATCCTTTAGTCCACATTTGTTATACAGTCTGTGGTTTAGATCTAGATTAGACCTGGATTAGTCCTGTTATAGGCCTGGTTTAGTCCTAGATTAGATTTAGACTAGTCCTGTTATAGACATGGTTTAGCCCTAGATTATATTTAGAATAGTCCCATTGGAGACCTAGTTTAGTCCTGGATTAGACCTGGAAGAGTCCTGTTATAGACCTGGTTTAGTCCTAGATGAGACCTGGGATAGTCCTAGATTAGACCTGAGATAGTCCTGGAACAGATATGGTTTAGCCCTAGACTGGACCTGGAAGAGTCTTGTTATAGACCTGGTTTAGCTCTAGACTAGACCTGGTTTAGTCCTCGATTAAAGCTGGGATAGTCCAGTTATAGACCTGGAATAGTCCTAGATTAGACCTGGAATCATCCTGTTATAGACCTGGTTTAGTCCCAGATTAGACCTGGGATAGTCCTGTTGGAGACCTAGTTTAGTCCTAGATTAGACCTGGTTTAATGCTGTTATAGACCTGATTTTGTTCTAGATTAGACCTTGGATAGTCCTGTTATAGACCTGGTTTAGTCCTAGATTAGACCTTGAAGAGTCTTGTTACAGACATGGTTTAGTCCTAGATTAGACCTGGGATAGTCCTGGAACAGACCTGGTTTAGATCTGGTGTTACCCAAAAAGTTCAATCTTCTCTCTGTCGTTACTTTGTGTGAAAACTATGAGAGCCACTGGCATAAAAGTCCTCCCAAGTCAACGGTGAATAGAAGAAGGTTGTAGGTTTGACTCCTGGGCCTTTCTATGTGGAGTTTGCATGTTCTCCCTTCAAAGTATACCTTGAGGCTCTGACCCAAAGGTTGGCAGTGCAATTCCAGCTCCCACACATGCATAATGCCCATATGTGTATAAAGGGGTGAGCCGTTCCTTGGGTACTTGTTCTTATATAATGGAAATCGCACATGGGTGTTACTGAATGGCCTTTGTCACACACACTGTTCAGTAGCACAGACTTAGGCAATGTTGTAATCTACTTTATTTCAGACTTTTAGGTGAATTCCTATTGAAAAATCGACAAAAGTTTAAAGCATCTATTTGGTGGTTTCCATTCAACAACAATGTCCCTCTTTCACACGGGGTCAAGAGCTTTGTATTCCACTATTGTATAAGTGATCCACAAAGAAATGTTGAACTTAAACTTGCATATCCGATTTTTATTTTTAAAAATAGAAATGCTAGAGAGAAGTTTGCCATCACGGTAAATCTAACAACTATCATCCTAACCTGCACTACCTAAATAAAACGCTTCATAATTAGATGCAAACAGCAAGGTTACACATTGCTATTCCGACAAGCCGCTACTTAGACATTTATGTGTAATATCTGAGTATTTTTCAAGCATTCCACTACTTTGACTTTTTTTTTCATTGTCAGAGTAGCGGCACGTTACTATTTTTCAAACATTCCACTTTTCCGACATGAATAATATGAATGTGATAGCCTATTATACTTTGCGCTCCCATATATCATAAAATGCTTGGGCTGGTGCAAAGCAGTTGATCAGAGAATACTACATAGGTCACCTTTTTTGCCTTGTATACACCACGTGGGCCGTACCTCCTCCCGTATGCCGCCTGGACTGCACCTCCTTCCGTATGCCGCGGGGACCGTGTCTTCTTGCATACGCTGCGCCTCCTCCCATGCAAAGAGCAAGTCGTGGCTCTAAACCAGAAATAAAGTCAGGACTAAACCAGGGCTAAAATCAGGACTCAAATCAGGTCTAAACCAGGACTAAAATCAGGTCTAAACCAGGATTAAACCATGTCTCCTCCCATGCACCGCACACACCGCGCCTCCTGCCATGCACTGCACCTCCTTCTCTGCCAGTCTGTGAAAATATTGTCTAATATAAGGCCAAGACACATGCCGATTTCTGCCATTAGGTGCTGTCAGTGATAGTTTTGCCACTGATTACAAATATTAGTCATGTTCTGTTGATTTGGACAGGCCTACTGATGTTCAGTGATGTTAAAAGACCTGCATGAAGTTGGAAATTATTTGCTGTTACAAAAATTGTTTAGGAATGCACTTTTTTAAAAATATATGAAAATACAATATTAAAAAAAATATATTACCAGTTGTTGTTGTTATTGCCAGAACCACAAAAGTTGTATTTACTTCAGAGGCCTGTGTGGGGTAGGACAGGCGGATGGGATTTTGGGCTCAACTGTCTTTACCTACTCTAAGGGAAGGCTCACGTTCATTTTCAGTTTGAAAAGCCCTGGCTTATACAATATCTCTGTATCGCTGTACTGCGCAAGACAAATTTTGCTCAAATACATGGGAAAAAATCTGGTACAAGGTCTTTAAACACTAAAGCTTTATAAGACGTTGTAAAGTAATCTGAAATACTCATCTTGAATTTCTTTCTCTGTCTCCTTTCAGTCCCATTCTCCATCCGGAAGTACGCTCCCTCTGACCAGCCTGCTGTGATGTCACTTTTCCGCGACGGCATCATGGAGCACGTGTATCCGGCTTTCTTCAAGACCCTGAGTCATCCGGATCACATAGGAATCGCCCTGAGCATCTCCATGGCCGGATACATTCTGGGAGGAAGCTCATACTTTCAAGCCTTTCTCTTCGGAAGCGCGTGGGCCGGTCTACTTTACTACTGCTGCTACGAAATCTACGAAGGCTACATGGAACAGAGGGTGACCGCGGACATGGCTAATGTTCCTGCTAGCTACCTCGACAATCTCGATTGTGCGTTTTGGGTGGCGGAAACTGAAGTTAAGGGGCAGCAAAAGTTAGTTGGAATTGCGGCTGTGATCGGCAAACGTTCTGAAGTCGAAGGAGAGAGATTTGACGATTGGAACGGAGGTGTTATTGGTGAGGAAAGCGAATTCGGAACCTACGGAGAACTCATGAACCTGGTTGTGGCATTTCCGTGGCGACGTAAATATTTTGGGTCAGAGATGATGCAGAAAGTGTTGGATTTTTGCAAAGAACGTGGGTACGGTCGTGTGGTACTAGATGTTAATTCTTCTCAAACGGCAGCGATCGCCATGTTCCAGAAATATGGCTTTGTGCAGACGGCATCCCATAATAACACTCACTCCAACCGCTGGTTCTCCAGACTGGCCCGGATAAACGTGCTGAGGATGGAGAAGGTCATCTAAGAAGATTCAATACAATGTAAAGGGCAGCGGTTCTCAATCTGGGGTACATGTACCACTGGAAGTACATGGGGTCTTCTAGAGACTCTTGACTTGTTTAGACCTGGTTTAGAACTGACTTAAGTCTGGTTATAGTCTGGGGTACATGTTAGGTTTTACATAGTTTAATCTTGTTTTTTTTCTGGCCTTAAACCTGCTTTAGATTTGGTTTAGTCCTGATGTCCCTATTTCACACGAGGGTGCTTTCACACTGATCCTGGTTTGGTTCTGGTTTAGATTTACTTCAGACCTGGTTTGGATGGGGGATGTTAATTTGAAGGGGTTAACCAGATTTAGATCTGGTTTAGATCTGGTTTGGTTCTGTTTTATGAAGCCAAATATTGTCTGCAGTATTACTTGGTGCATAAAGTTTGAAAATCACTGTTGCAGGTAATTAAGTTTACGTGTAATTTACACCACATTTTCACACCCATAAAATGTACATCTGGTCAGGCACGTCTCCAGTTTTCCATTATAAACAAATAAAACGTTAAATATTTTCCACAAACATGCTTTGTTTTTCTTTCTTTTCTTCTATGTTACACTTAAAAAACATGAATAAAGGTTCACTTTATTGTCTTCTGCATTTGACCCATACTTCATTATCGCTGTGGGTTATAGGTGCAGTGAACACCACAGCGTTCCAGGGTTCATCTCCAGATCTTGAGCTAGTCTTGTCAGGACCACCTTAACTGGAAGGTTGTATCTGTGGTGCATGTTTTGGGTGATGGGGGAAACAGAGTGTCTGGAAGAAACCCGCCCAGACACATGGAGAACATGCAAACTCCCTACAAAAAGTTAGAGCAACCCAGGAACCCGGAACCTTCGTGCTAAATCATTCTGAATAATATTTGTTCATTATGATTAACTCTTTGTCCAGGCTATTAAAGGTGTAGTTATTAAGTGGTACAAAATAATGAATAGTACTTTGTCTGTAGAAGTTGTATTGTATTGGAGTAAAATAACTTTCTAAATTTAAGCTTCTTTCCAGTCTGAAGTTGAGTCCTCATAGGAATTACTGGCAGCTGACTCCTAAGACCTCATAGTTCTTGTCTTAAAATGCCAATGGAGAATGCAGCACTATAAGGACACATTCAGGTTTAAAATTCTTTGGAGTTAACAGAGTTGTGGGGGAGTGTGAGAGAGGAGAGAAAGAACAGATTCAGGTCAGATACACAGGCTGAAATTCACAGATTACTAACACCAAACAATGGAGAGGAAGATTAAGGGTTAACACGGCGGTCTTATGATGCGGCTGTGAGGAGTTGGGACGGGTTATGCAGGTGAAAGGGCATGAAGGGCATGTGCATAGGAGTTGAGGGGTATGGCTAGAATTAATCTGACACCACATCTGAGCTTGCGTAAGTTCTTAATGCAATGTTCCTCTACAACAATTCCAAGTTTGGTTTGTCACAGAAAAAGCTGTCTGTGTGTATGTTCAGCCTGACCACCTGGAGAATGTCCCATCTCATCTTAATCTCAGAGGCTTAGCAGAGTATGGTCCATGAAAGAATAATATAGAAGTATAATAAGATCTGGACGATGAACCAAAGATGGTGTCACATTGTTTCGTCAATAGGAGGAGTGACCAATTCTGACCAATCAGAGTGATAGTGGCTAGAGTGGACTTAGTGTGGGCATAGAGTGGGGCTAACTTTTAAATGTTTTGAGGATTGAGAAATTCAAAAAAGTTTACGTTGTGAAAATAGAGAAGGATCCTGCAAAATCTGACCTTTGTGAAAGCTGTCGATGTCCTGTCGATACACTGGCAGTTTGATTTCCCTAAACATGCACTGTGTTCAATGGGAGAATTATTTTTGAGCCAGAGCTCCCGAGAGCTGCAGTACTTGAAGCAGCCACTAATCCAACTTGCCCCAGGACTAAGGGGGAGCATCTTATCCAGTTCTTACTATATATACAGGATTGGGCCTGGTTAGTACTTGGATGGGAGACTGTTGGGATTACCAGGTGTCAGTGAGGCAGCACTGGCTGGTGTGAAACTCTGCCACTATGAGTGTTGATCCCTGGGGCTGATGGGGCAGATTGTCAGCCTCGCCTCTGTTGTCTGCCCCAGGACGGCTGTCGCTAAGTAACTATAGCTTATCCCACCATGGAGTGAATGAATAATGCAACATAAAGCGTCACTGAATGTCCAAACAAATATATATAAATCTACACCAATATTTTTGTTTTCCATTGACCATTGCATGCTTTGTTTGTGTCCTTGGGCAAGACACTGTATGAACATGCAAATATTTCACTTGCACTGAAACACCTTCAATGAATTGTCATCCTCTGCTGGAAAAGGTGAGGTGTGACATTTGTTGAAATGGTTAATTATCAGCTCATAGAACAGTTTCACAGTCCCGCGCTGTACACAGCAAAAACTGGAGGGTTAATATTTTAGGGTAAAATATTTCAGAGTTGTTTTTCACACCAAAAGTGTTATTTTAACTATTTGAAATTTAAATGGGGTTTTGAGTTGGGGTTATTGGCCAGAGTTGATGTGGTTGAGGGTAATTCAACTTCTCTTAGTGTTAATTTGGCTCCTCCCATTCACCACTTGAAACTCTTGTGAGAGAAGACCAGTTTGAACCAGTTTTGTACATAATTTAATCTTAAATTAACTCAAATAAAGTAAAAATAAAATAAAACACCTCTGTGTGTTGTTTAGTGAAATCAGAATAACTCTACAAAGTGTTATCTGTTTACTCTCAAAACGTGAATATAACTCTGGATTTCAGGGTTAAACAGTGTCCAGTGTTACTTAACATTTCCAAAAATGTTAAATTAACTCTAGAACAGACTGGACTCATATAAACTCTGAGAAAATGTTAAAGTTGATTCTGTGAAAGTCAGTTTTACCACTCTACTTTTTGCTGTGTAAGGTTGCATTACTTCCAGTTAATAGTTTTTTTTAATGGAAAAATGTGTGGACATGTCTGGCGTATTCTACATCAGCTTCATAAATCTGCCCCATCACCAAATCTTCAACCAACAAGGACCACAAAGGATAAACATTCCTCCATGAAGAATTTATCCACAACTATCAAAGTAAGAAAGACGAAACCTTAAGGCGAACAACGGCGACGCATTACTGAACTACTCCTGAGCAAAACTAACACTATGGTCATGAATAAAACCAAATTAGTGCAGTTTGACATGTTATCTATGGCTACGTTCAGACTGCAGGGCTTAACGCTCAATTCCGATTTTTTTGTGAAATCCGATGTTTTTGCGAGGTCGTTCACATTTCCAATTAAATGTGACTTGTATGTGATCCCCTGTGTGAACTTAAAAGGCCCAAAAGTGTCCCGCATGTGCACTGGAGACACGACGACGTCAACTGCAGTGAGCGTGCTCTGTGTTTACGGAAGTTGTCCAAACATGGACGTGAGCATTGAGCACCTGGAGATTTTAAAGTTCCTCTCGTACTAGAGCCAGAACATGAACAACTTACTTGTTTTAAGGAGGAGATTGAGAAGGAGAAGGACGAGGTTTTTGGCCGTGGTGTTGTGTGGGACAGCGGCAGCGACGTCGGTTGAAAGGAACGTGTGGATGTGGAGACGGAGCCAAGAGTGGTGAGTGGTGATGTGCTTCGCTTCAGTGACATGGAGTTCATTAACAATTTTCGCCTACTTCAGCGCAGAATAGTGACATTTTTGGCTTGTTGATAACATGTAGGTGGATGAATGCATTTTGGCTGTTCAGACTGAAGTCACATGTCAAAAGATCGGATATGTATCAGTTTTAGGAGCACATATCCAAGTGGCCTGGGTCACATTTGAAAAAAATCGGATCTGTGTCGTTCAGACTGTCATTTAAAGATCAGATACAGGTCACATAGAAGCCAAAAAAAATCAGATTTGGGTCACTTCAGGCTGCAATCTGAATGCAGCCTATGATCATCTTTAGTATGTGACCTACACTAATCTATCTACATCTACATCATGAAATCGATTTTTAAATTTTAATTCCATAATAGCAAATTACTTATTAATGAATTTTTTTAAATTTTAATTCCATAATAGCATTTTCAATTATACTTATTAGTTCTGCATGAATTACTCATACCAGAAGAGTTAAGTATTAGTACAATACTCATACCAGAAGTAGTATTAGTAGAATACATGAGACATTTTCAAACATTTTGCCATAAAAAAACCATTAGTTCTGCAACCCTACAGTGCAGCGCTTCTGGCTGTTTTGAAAAAGCAGCTCTCTCTGAACAAAACTCTCCTATTTGACCTTTAGGAAAAACAAAACAAAAAACAGAACTCTCATATTCAAACATGCAAAATAACAACATGTGTTTTAATGAATTCATTTTAAAAAGTGTAAAAGGTGCTTAAAGAGCCTGTACTCAATTTTCCCCGATCGTTTGAGCAGAATGTGTCTTGCCCCAGTGCAGATAAATTGTATAAGCATCTCTCGAGGTCAAAATAAGAGCGCTGTGTCTGTCTGCATCTAAATATCAAGTGATTTATTGTCAGAAAGCGCACCACTAGCATGCTAATTGTCACTAACTTTCCCATCACGATGAACTCCAGTGTTGTTTCTGAAAGTTACGAACATCACTTATAATCTCATCATGGTGAATAATTAACATGCTCTGAATGCATAAGGCAAGTGAAGAATAAATTTGGACCACTGCGAACTGTTTAAAATGAGCTCAATCTGTTTTCTGTGTTTTTGAGACGATAAAAATCAGACACGGCGCCATTAACATGTCTAAGAACCTGATTTAGCATAACACATTCCCTTTAAATCCACCTGTTATCTGAAAGCATCCTGAATCTACATCCACTTACCTCGATATCCTCTCCTCCTTATCCCCAACAACTTGTGGTTTCTGTGCCTTGAATATTAACAGGTCTGGCTCAGTAGAGGTCCAGTACAGGTGACGATGGAGAGGAGGAGAGACAGATTGGAGATCGTGTTGGAGCTAATTTTCCTTGGATCTT